AGCTATGGAGACCCAATGGGGAGAGGGGTGGGCAAGGCTCTGGGCAGGTCAGAGCTGACACTGAATTGGAAAGGGTAGGGAACAAAAGTCACAGACATTGCCTTGTGGACTTGGATGGTCAGCTCCACCCCCCCCACCACCAACACACACACACTCACCAGAAAGGTTGAATCTATTGAACTTTTTAAAAAAAAATATGACCCTTTTATTTATTTATTGTTTGCTCTTTATTTATTTGAGACAAGTGTCGCCCTATAGCCCTGGCTGGCATATGAACCACAATGACCTCAAACTTGTAAGAATCCTACTTCTTCTTACCAAGTGCTGAGATTGCAGAAGTCTGCTACCATTCCCAGCTCCCAGGGTTTTGTCGTTGTTGTTTGTTTTTGTTTTTTTCCTAATTTATTCAGTGTGTGATGGTGTTTTGTCTGTGTGTGTGTGCACGCACGCACGTGCTCCACATGCTTGCACTACACAAGGGGGATTGAAGAGAAGGACATTGGCTCCCCTGGGCTGGAGTTACAGATGGTTGTGAGCCACCATGTCAGCGTGGGGAACTGAACCCAGGTCTTGTGGAAGAGAAGCCAGTCTTCTTATCCACTAAGCCGTCTCTCCAGCCCCTAGCTCCCAGTTTTTAACTGAGACAAGTAAGTCTAAGATCGGTCACCTTCAACACTGCTCGTATGCCGTACAGTGTGTGGTGTAGACATGGACATGCGGCCTTCATGACCCTGTCCTCAGTGCAGGTTCACCCTCTAGACCTGAGGCTGCTTTGAAAACTGCCTCAACAGGAGGATCTCTGTGAGTTCGAGGACAGCCCGGGCTACAGAGTCAAACCCTGTCTCAAAACAAAAAAGAAAAAGAAAAAGAAAACTGCCCAAAGCCTTGTGTAGTAGCTCATGGCTGTAAGTTCAGCATGGGAGAGGCTGAGCAAGGGGACCTCCTTAGTCAAGACCAGAGTAAAGCCTGGCACACAGTGAGACCCTGTGGGTAAAATATACAGGGCTTTGGGCTGGAGAGTGGCCCGGCTCTTACGAGTGCTTGTTGTTCTTCAGAGGACCTGTTCTTTATTCCCAGTGCCTCCATGGTGGCTCCAAAACCATCTGAAACCCTAGTTCCAAGGGATTTAATGCCCTCCTCTGGTCTCTGCAGGCAACAGCTGATACAGACATATATGCAGGCAAAACACCCATACACACAAAATATTTTTAATTAAATTTAAAATTAATTAATTAATTAATTAATTAAAAATAAAGAACAAACAAGCAAAAAAAAAAATCCTACTTGTTTTATTGAGTACAGAACATAGAAACAAGACAAACTAATCCAACTCAGTGGGTGCCCATGGTATACACCCACACAACATGTTCCACCCACCCTGCCCGTTCCCATCCCAGGGGCCACTGCCCACCCGGCAGCCCAGATACCTTTACACACTGTCTGCAGTAACCTGGATCGTCCGTGTGGTGAGCACGCACACAGGCTGGGACATGTCCTTCCTGTCCTGTGTGGATGGCCCACAGGTTTGTGGGATCAGTCTGGGGAGGCTGTGTATAGGGTTCTGTGCCGTTATGAGTCTTCATTCATCACCTAGGAATGGATGCTGGGCCTCACATCCACGTGTGCTAAGTCCACAGCAGTGACAAGGCTGTGGTTCAGGTCACTTAATTTTTTTAATAATGTTTTATGGCTTTGTACATAAACTTCTTACACCAGATTTACCAGCAAGAAATCTGATGGTTTGATGTCATTAAGTGACTTTTTTTTCCTTTTCCTTTTTTTTTTTTTTTTTTTTTTTTTTTTTTTTTTTTTTTTTTCTGGAACTCACTCTGTAGACCAGGCTGGCCTTGAACTCAGAGAGATCTGCCTGCTTCTGCCTCCCGAGTGCTGGGATTAAAAGCGTGTGCTGCCACCACCACCCAGCTCTTTTTTTTTTTTTTAAAGACTGTTTC